TTGTAAAAAGAGGGAGAACTGAGTATATATAATAAGTCAGCGAAAAAACAGTTAAAACTCTGATGTCACAAAAATGGAGATGATAGAATTTATACTTAGTGTTGAGATAAGTGAGATAACTTAAAAGCTATCCATTAGCTAAAGTCAGTTAAGAATAAAATTGTGACATTTATCATGTAAGGATGAACTAGTGGAAGTAGATCCTAGAGGTCAGGCTCAGGTCTATAGGCTTGGCAGCAAGTTCTTTACCTTCTGAATTTTCTTAAAAGTCCAGTGATTATTGTGCTAGAAATTGCAGTGAAAATGAAAATGTTAAAATGATAGTAGAATAAATGGTTTCTAAGATCTGTGTGCCAGCTAGGTTAGAGTATCTGATTTTTTTTTTTTTTTGTTTTGTTTTGTTTTTTGTTTTTTGTTTTTTGAGACAGGGTTTCTCTGTATAGCTCTGGCTGTCCTGGAACTCTCTCTGTAGACCAGGCTGGTCTTAGAAATCCACCTGCCTCTGCCTCCCAAGTGCTAGGATTAAAGGCGTGTGCCACCACCGCTCGGCTGAGTATCTGATTTTTTAATCACCCAAAGCTAATATCTTTTGGAAAAGCTACTAGTATAAAATATATTTCAGATAACTGTTGAGTGCAATTTGTAGCAGGTTATTAGCATAGATAGTTTGGTTCTCCAGTTTCAAGTTTGGCCTTGCAAAAAAATTTTTTTTTCTCTCTCCACCCTTGCCCCCTCTGACACACACATACACATTTGGTGTAGTTCCTTTTCTTTCCTTTTTTAAAGAATTATTTTAGGTATATGAGTACACTATAGCTGTCCTCAGACACACCAGAAGAGGGCATCAGATCCCTTTACAGGTCAGGTGATTGTGAGCCATCATGTGGTTGCTGGGAATTGAACTCAAGACCTTTGGAAGAGCTCTTAACCTCGGAACCATCTCTCCAACCCCTACTTGGTATAGTTCTAATTGTCTTCTTTGATTAGAAACTGAAGGTCTAAAATCTATCCTCAGCTTGGTCCCCCACCCCCACAATTTCTCTACTGTGAAGGAGTCATTAATTTGAAAGTGTGGTTTTTCATTTTCTTAAGAAGTAACCCACCATAGACTAAAGTACTTGGTTATTTATGAGAGAATTACTTTGTCAGGGAGAAACTTTTAATTTGTAGAGGGAGGCTAGGTATATTTGGTAGAGTTAGCTAGTACCACTCAATTTACATATTAGTGATATATGCATGTAACTACATTTAGGAGGTGGAAGAACTGAATTTAAGGTCATCCTACACATAGAGTACAAGGCTAGCCTACAATGCAAGCTCTTTTCCTCAAAAACACATAGGTCAAGGAAAAAAGCACAAGCATGTATTGCAAGATTATAAATGTCAGGAGGAGGCTACAAATAAAAGAGTTTCAATAGAGGTAAGAGGATTTCCAGTATCAAAGAGCATTTAAACTGGATTTTGATGGATGGGATTTTGCTTGTATGTTTGTTTGCATAAAGGGACTGACTGTGTTGCGTTGGAACCTTTAGATCAGGCTGGCCTAAAACTCAAATCCACCTGCCTCTGCCTCCTAAGTGCCACCACACCTGATGGTCTTTTAAAAAGTTTTGTTTGTGTATATGTGTACTTGTGCACATAGGAACCTATGGAGGCCAGAAGAGGATCCCCTGGAATTGGAGTTACAGTTATGAGCTGCTATGTGGGTGCTGGGAATTGAACTTAAGACATCTGGAAGAACAGCCAGTGCTAAGCCATTCAGTCCTTATTTTTATTTTTTTTTAAAGATTTTTTAATTTATTTTATTATGAGTACACTGTAGCTGTCTTCGGACACACCAGAAGAGGGCATCCAATCTCTCTTTTTTTTTTATGGATGGTTGTGAGCCACCATGTGGTTGCTGGGATTTGAACTCAGGACCTCTGGAAGAGCAGTCCGTGCTCTTAACCGCTGAGCCTACTCTCCAGCCCCCTTATTTTTATTTTTTAATGTGAATGTGATTGTTGACTTTTGTATGGATTTAGGAAATTACCAATTCCAGACCAACAATTATAACTCAGACTTTGAGACCTGGAGCCAGGTCAAAATTAGGCAGACAAAAAAGCAGGGCCTGGTATGGTAGTACAGGCCTGTACTTCAGTCTGTTTGAGAGGCTAATGCAGTATATTACAAACTCAGGGCCCAAACTAGGTAATTCAGAATATGTCTGAAAACAAAAGGAGAACTGAGGATATATATATATATATACACACACACATACATACACATACATGTATGTATGTATATATGAGTGTGTATATATGTATGTATATGTGTATGTGTGTGTATATATGTATGTGTATGTATATACATACACATACATATACATATACATATATATATATATTGCCTGATACATAAAACAATGTTTAATCCATTGCGGAAAAAAGAACAGAACAGTGGGAAAGTGCATGTATAGGGGCAATAAAAAGCTTTGAAATAAGATGGCCAGATATTTCTAAGGATAAACTATTAATATTCACTATAATTATAGAATATAATTATATTAGCATATATAGAATATATTAGCATGCTTGATGATAAGTGCCTGTAATCACACCACTTGGGAGGTATAGGCAGGGGCTCAAAGTCATCTTGGGAGGCCAAGCTACATGTCTCAACATAGACAGAATGAGAGAATGGTTTCCATCCAATAGCAACAAACACAGATAAGGCACACTCAGATTTTGGCTTCTAAATAAATAGTACATTTTCCATTAAGAGGAAAGAACCAAGACTCCCTAGAGACATGGCTGAGAGGGAGAGTCTCTTATTCAGCAAAAGGAGCTACTGCTCAAAGGATGATGGTTACATGCTGAAAACCACAGGATAGGGCTAGAGAGATGGCTCATTAGCATGCAGTTCATGGCATCCATGTCAGGTCTTGAAGACCTGCATTCATGCATGTGTCTTACAGGCATGCATATACATATAAAGGTAAATCTTGGAAGAAAGCTATAGAGTATTCAACTGGTTTTGTTCCTTACACTCTCAATTACTTTGTACTTGTTTGGTGTGTGCAGAGGCAGGTGAGTCTGAGTTGGAGGCCAGCCTGGTCTACACAAACCCTGTCTTGAAAGATAAAGATGGCCTGACAGTGGTGGCACACGCCTTTAATCCCAGCACTTGGGAGGCAGAGGCAGGCGGATTTCTGAGTTTGAGGCCAGCATGGTCTACAAAGTGAGCTCCAGGATAGCCAGGGCTGTACAGAGAAACCCTGTCTCGAAAAACCAAAAAAAAAAAAAAAAAAGAAATAAAGATAAAGATGAAAAAAATTAAGAAAAGGAAAAAAGGAACAGATGAATATCCTAGTGTTTTTTTTGTTTTTTTAAAGATTTATTTATTTATTATATATGAATACACTGTAGCTGTCTTCAGACACACCAGAAGAGGGCATCAGATCTCATTACAGATGGTTGCGAGCCACCATGTGGTTGCTGGGATTTGAACTCAGGACCTCTGGAAGAGCAGTCAGTGCTCTTAACCACTAAGCCATCTCTCCAGCCCTATCCTAGTGTTTTATAAATTAAAGGTAGACTTTTCTGGGCTGTGGAGATGGCTCAGCAGTTAAGAGCACTGATTGTTCTTCCAGAGGTCCTGAGTTCAATTCCCAGCAACCACGTGGTAGCTCACAACCATCTATAATGGAATCCAATACCCTCTTCTGGAGTGTCTGAAGACAGTTACAGAGTACTCAAATACATAAAGTAATTAAGTAAATCTTTTTTTTTTTTTTAAAGAGCTTGTTGGATAACATTAATTAAATAAAATAACCAATAAAAATTAAAAAGCAAAAGCTTGTTAAAGAGCTGTTACTCAGCTCGATGATTAATTTGTAGAGTGCACTAATTTGTAGGTAGTAGGGTTTATTTTTCTGGTAACTTCAGTAGAAAGAAGATAGATTAGAATATTCCAGAAAGCTCAGTGGGGGTAAAAGCCTTTAAGCCCAACACTTGATAGGTAGAGGTAGATGGATCTCTTGAGTTTGAAGCCTACCTGTTCTACAGAGTTTAGAACATAGAACAGTCTGGGCTACACAAAGAAGCCCTGTCTCAGAAAAAAGGAAAAGCAAAACTCCACAAACACTAAAAGATAATCTCTCCGGACGGTGGTGCACGCCTTTAGTCCCAGCACTTGGGAGGCAGAGGCAGGCAGATTTCTGAGTTCAAGAGTTCGATGCTAGCCTGGTCTATAGAGTGAGTTCCAGGACAGCCACGACTACACAGAGAAACTCTGTCTTGAAAAACAAAAAACAAAACAAAAAAAAACAGATAATCCCAGGTAGAGAAATACAAAGGTCTTCCTCTTGTATTTATAAAGTTGAATGATCAAACTATTCAAAGGAGGCAGAGGTAGGCGGATTTCTGAGTTCGAGGCCAGACTGGTCTGCAGAGTGAGTTCCAAGAACAGCCAGGGCTACACAGAGAAACCCTGTCTCCAAAAACCAAAAAAAAGAAAAATTTTTTTTAGATGTCTGCTGTAAAGCTTTGTGTACTGGGGTAATAGATGGAAAATAACATTTAATATATGGAGACTTTTGCATATCTTTGCTATCTCTTTTGCTATTTTGTGAACACAGAATCTTGTCAATTTCACATTAATAATTGGCTTTTAATAATTTTGTGTGTGTGTATGTGTACATACACACATGTATCTATTTCCCCAATGTGTGGAGGTCAATGAACAACCAGCATTCTTCTACCACGTAGGTCTGAACTTGACATTAGACTTGGTAGGAAGCAATCCTGCCAGCCCAGTGATTGATTCTTCATAATCAACATGAACGTAACCCAGATGGTACTAAAAGTTATTTCAAAATTTTAGTGTCTTATGTTGCATAGAGCTATTCTATTATCAGTCAGCTCCACCTTTATCCCAGCAGTCTAGGTTTTTTCACATGTTAGAGATAAAAGCAGAGTTTTATTTAGCACTCATTAAAATAATTTTTTCCTCTCTTACAGAAATGGAATCTATATGGAATTTGCAGAAGCAAGGTAAGAATGGTTTGCTACTTAAAATGTTAATACTAATAAAAAATTATGACATTTGTTTTATAGTGAGAATAATTGGAATCGTGACATATCCAAGTGAACAGGCTTTATTTTTTGTATTACATTAACAACTTGTTGCCGGGCGGTGGTGGCGCACGCCTTTAATCCCAGCACTTGGGAGGCAGAGACAGGAGGATTTCTGAGTTCGAGGCCAGCCTGGTCTACAGAGTGAGTTCCAGGACAGCCAGGGATATACAGAGAAACCCTGTCTCGAAAAAAACAAAAAAAAAAAACAAAAAAACAAAAAACAAAAAAAAACAAAAAACAAAAACAACTTGTCAAAAGAAGAGCCATACCAAGACTACTAAAGAGTGACTATAATCCCATCTCTTTGAAGGTTGAAGCTTTAAATTTAAGGCTATCCTGGCAACGGTTTTGCAGGGAAGATGGAAACTCTACCCTTTAAAATAGTTTTGTTTTTTTTTTTCTAGACAGGTTTTCTTTGTAGACCTGGGTGGCCTTAAACTTACATAGATCTAAGTACTGGGGTTAAAGGTGTGTGCTACCATGCCTGTAGAGGCTAAGAGTTTTATACTTAGTTGTAGAGCTTATGGTTAATATACATAAGGACTTGGATATGAGCCCCCAGTACAGCCTTTCCCAGTGCCTTCCTGTCCTTTCCAAATACAAATGTTTTTGAGGAAATCAATATAAATGTTTTTACCTTTAGCTTATGTTTGTATGGTAAACAAAAAGATACCTTAAGAACTGAAATTTTCATATTTTAGGATAATATTCAGTGTTAGAAAAACATTTAAACTGTGTGGAATGGTGTTTGGAAATAAAAAGAATAGCATTCACTTTTATCCTCCCATAACCAAAATTGAACAAGTAGGACAGGGAGTGGGTATACAATCTATATGTTGTCTTTGATTGCTTTCAAATTGCTAATTACATAAATAACCTGTTCAGTTTGTATAATGTTACTTGTATGTGTATGTTTTCAGGGCTCACCATTTGGTATTGGATAATCAATTGGTGTGCTCTTTTCTGGGGAAGACTTTTTCAGTTCTCAGGTGTTTCTTAGTTGGCTTTAGTTCTTTGTGTTGTGTTGAAGCTCCTGGATTTGCTCATTTACTTAGCATGTCTGTTGTTTTCCTTGTTCAGTTCATATATCTAAGCAGTTATGTTAGTGAGACTTAATGGGTATAGCTTCTGTGACATTACTAGGAGAGGATTTTTTTAATGGTCTGTGTGTTGCAGAGAAGATTTTTTTGTTTTGTTTTGTTTTTTTTGAGACGGGATTTCTCTGTGTATCTCTGGCTGTCCTGGAACTCACTCTGTAGACCAGGCTGGCCTCAAACTCAGAAATCCACCTGCCTCTGCCTCCCAAGTGCTGGGACTAAAGACGTGCACCACCACTGCCTGGCAGAGAAGATTCTTTTATGTGGGGTGAGGGTTACATACACTTGTCCATATAGGAACAAATATTATTTAGAGTATAGTTAGGATTATGCTGAATTAGTAAAGTGGTGATTATATGTTCCCACCCAAGATCCATGATTTTACTAGCCGTAGGTATTTGGCTAGGTTTCCAGTACCAGGAATGATTTCCTTTTTGTTGAGTGGATCTTAAGTCTCATTAGAGGCTAGTTGGTTATGCCAAGGTATGTGTGCCATTATCGCACCCTTAGGTTATCATTGCTGGTTTTGTGACTTCTTAGAGTCAACGATCAAGTCTTTTGTTTACAGCCAAAGATAATTAATTAGCAAACAGTTGAATTTTTTCTTTATACATTTCAAATCAAATGTGAATGGGAAAGAGACTACAAAATACAAAACTGTAAAATGGCTATTGACTGTAGGGATAAGTATTATCTTCATGGCAGGTTGTCTTTGGAGTTCTAAAAATGATATTTTTGTATTATCTTCTTATTAAGTAAGCCAGGCTTATTCTTTGTGGTTTTGTTTTGCTTTTTTTGAGATAGGGGTTTCTCTCTAGTTGTGGCTGTCCTGGAACTCCATCAGTAGACCAGGTTGGCCTCAAACTCAGAGCCTGGCCTGCCTCAAATGGAACTTAAAGTATGAGCTATCACTTTAAGCGAAGATAAAGTAAGATAACTTGAGTTCTTAAGTATTATTTTCAAATCTCTTCCTTTCTATTAAATAATGAATTAAAGGTTTGCATGCTCATCTCGAGGGAGAGGGAAGGATGGAAGACTCCAGAACCTTAAGTGGATGAGGAAAGTACTCTGCTACCAAGCTAATGTTCCTTGGCTTTGTTGTTTTTTTGTTTGGTTTTTCTAGCCAAGAGTATCTTATCTTTGTGTAGCTCTTGGCTGTCTTAGAACATACTATGTAGACCAAGTTGTCCTTGAATGCAGAGATTCACTTGCCTCTGCCTCCCAAGTGTTGGAATTAAACACATACCCCTCTACCACCTGGCTTCCTGGTTTTCCTGTTTACTAAAGCATACTAACTTTTTAAAAAAATAGCCAACCTGGACTATATATTGCAAGAATCCCAGCAGTTCTTGGAAATAATGTAGAACAAAAAATATTGTTTATACTCATAGTAGGTTTAGTTAGAATCACACACCTTTAATCCCAGCAGAGTCAGGCTATTTTCTGAGATCAAAGCTAGCCAGGCTATCATAATAACAATAAAATAGTCTTTACTGATTAGGTGTGTAGCAAGTAAAGGTGCCAACCGCCAAACTTTAAAATGTAAATTTAATTTCCAAAGCCCATATAAATAAAGGTGGTCAGGTGGAGAAAATATAACTCCAAAATTGTTGTTGTCCCTTGCCCTTTATATATGCCATGCCATAGGTGTGAACATATACAAACATCAGTATGTAAATATAAAACAAAATTTTAATGCTTTCTCTAGAAGGGAGCACAAAATAGCTAATGAATAAGAATTTAGGATAGCATTAAAAAAATAGCCTTGTAGTCAAAAAAATTTCTTCTGATATGATTGGACTCAAGGCCTTTTATATTTTAGGCATGTGCTTTGTATCTTGGGTCCTACCTACATTTATGTTTGCTGAGAATAAAGATGGAGATAATATTGTGGGAAATAAGGAGTAAATAAGTGATTAGAACTAAGCTAGTTATTGTGATTTAGTTGATTATTACCATGAAATATTTGGTGTTAGGGTTTTTTTGTTTTGTTTTTTGTTTTTTGTTTTTTGCCAGCCAGTCCTTGCCAAACATCCCACTATCATTTAAAATATATTTAGACTTTAGGCTAGGGCATGATGGCACAAGATGTAGAAGGACACAGGAGTTCAATCAAGGTCAGCTACATAGCAAGTTTTGAGAACAGCCTGGATCACATGAGACCTTGCTGAATTCCTTGCTAAAAACAAAATAAACCCAAGAATTTCTCTATTAAATTGTTTTATGACTTGAGCTTATTTCTCCTTGCCTTTACATTTGCTATTTTTGTTGTCACAAGGAAAACTTACTTAAATGAACTTGAAACATAGTCTCTAGAGGTTCAAGCCTTTACTGGGTGGTAGAGGACATTGTTTTTGGGAATTTATTAGGAGTGCTTAACAGCCACAGTTTGGGTTGAGAAACTAGATCACATATGGATAATACCAAAGAAGAAATGGCCTTTAAATTTGTTTTAATTAGAAGGGTCGCAATTTAAATGATTGTTTGAGATTTGTTTCTGGGTTAATTGCAAGGTTTTGCTTTGAATTTGTTTAATTAGTTTACTTTTTCACTTTGCCTCTAGATCCCAAAAGGATAATCACTTACAATGAAGCCATGGATAGTCCAGATCAATGAAGGACCAGACTGCCTATTTGTAACCTTTCTGCAGCATTAGAGCCACCGTTCATGTGGGACACAAGGCTTTTATGCTCCTAGATCTTCAACGCAGCAGAGGAACCATAAGTAGAATCACAGGATAATATATACAAATATATATATATACATATATATATATATATAGTTATTTAAAAAAAGGCAACTGAAAGTAATTAGACTTCTTAAGGAATCAAATTTATTTCAAGAGACTACACATGGTTATTTAATCTCCGGTACCGAATAGTCTTTTCTTTATTATTTTGTTAGTTTTTGTTTTTAAGTGTGAATGCAAGTGATTAATGAATACAGACTGTTTAACAAGCGTGGTTCTAAAGTTCCTGCTGTCATCTACTTGGGCAACAAATGACCCACTGGAAAGGCAAATCCACTTACTTCTAGGTATCTGTACCTTGTTCTGTGACTAAAGTGATACACTAATCACGGGGAACCCAGAATGATTCGACATTTTCCCCTACTCCACCCTTGGTCTTTTAGTTTTATTTTGAGCCCTGCGAGAATGCTGGATAAATGCCTTGAAGTTTGCAGGGATGTTTTTTGTTGTTTGTTTATTGTTTTTTTTTTAATCCAATGATTTGCATGTCTTGCCAAGAATTGTGCAGCCTCTGTGGGGTGTTGGGGAAATAGTTCCTTTCCTTTTATTTTTTTGTGGGGTGGGGACAGGGGGAGGGCATTGAAGTTCTACAATCCTGGAATAGTTTGTGGGTACATAGTTAACTTACTTTGGTTACATGTTTTACTTTTAACAGCTGAAGAATCTATGAGTGTCATTGAAAGAGAAGTTGCAGAACAAGTAATTGGTTGATAATTACCCATTGTAATTGTGTAACTGGGAGCAAAAATATATTCTGCTTTTCCGCTGTAGGTGCTCAGACTTGCTCTCTGTCACTAACACTAAGTGTATACTCTTGTTTTTCATCAACCATTTAAGAGAAACTTATGTACCTTTCTGTAAATTCCTTTAATTTCAGTTTCTCAGCAAAATTTAAAAAGAAAAAATATTTCATGAAAACTGTGTTTTTTAGCCAGTGAGGAGGTAATAAACACTGCTTATAGAAGGTGTGTTTTCAGGCAAATTCTACTTCTGAGCTTACTTGTTTCTAATTAGATCTTAATATATTTTATCATTAGAGCAAAATTGGGTTTGGTTTTTTTTTTTTCCTTTTTTTTTTTTTTAAGAAAAAATAATGTGAAATTCTGAAATTTATTTTGGGCAGAAAGAGCATTAGCCCTGTCTTATCATCGCATTACCATCCTGTTGTGCTGCAGCTTGTGTATAGCATGCTAAAATTTGTGTGTGTGTGTGTGTGTGTGTGTGTGTGTGTGTGTGTGTGTAAACTAAGGGTCCAATTTAAGACTGGGTGATGTTAGTGGCATAAAAAAACAAGTTCTCTGGCCTGATGTATCACCACATCACACACATAACACATACAGAGAAATTAATGTATCCATGTATGTCAAATACAAGTTAAACTAGCAGGGCATTTGTAGAGTTGCAGTTGTGTAACAAGCAGACTGGATCCTCTGGACACTTTCGGGGGAGAAAGTAGTTACTTTTTATTCTTGTTTTCTAAGAAATGTCCAGTTTCGAGTGATTGTAGTGTGGATGGATTTTCTGGTTTTGTTAATTATTTCAGGTTTTAAACGAATGTTCATGAAAGAAGCTATTTGATTTACTGCAGAGAAAAATACTTTTTAGTCTAGATTTCTGCCCTGCTTAGATTTAAAAAAAAAAAAAAAGTATAAGCATGAATTGCCAATTCCACTTGATGTAAACAACTTTTTATACATAATATATATATAATAACTTATTGTATCAGTCCAGGTTCAGAAACTTGTGGTAGGCCAGTTTCAGATAGTTTCATTTCACCTGTAAACTGTATCACTTTTACTGATATTGTAATTTTCAAATGTATAATATGTTTACAGATGTGCCCTGCATTTAGTTGCTTTGTTCCTATTTTGATTTTTTTTCCTTTTTTTTCCTTTTTTTTTTTTTTTTTGTTGTTGTTGTTGTTGTTATTGTTGTTGAGTTTCCTGCCTGGTTGCCAAAAGCTAGGATGCTTCAGGCCCGTGTACATCAGTGAGGCATCCTTGAGCTTTAAAGCATTGAACAAACTGGAAAATGCAACACGCCACATACTGAACTGAGAAGAGTCTGTGTTTTGTGTTTCTTTCTTTTTTTTTTTTTAAATAAAAATTTTCAAAAAGTTAAAAAAAAAACCTTGATTAAAGAAAAACGAGGCTCCAGTTTGTTTTATAGGTTTTAAAGTTCTGCTGTGTGTTTAATTGCCTTGTGACCACTTGTCGCCTTAGGGCCAATTCCTTACTCCACTTTTTTTAAATGTCTATTTTGCTTGCCTGGAATTTTAAAGTTCTTCTGTTGCACAAATCACAAAAACAAAACAAAACAAAAAAATACTTCCTTGGTTTATGGCATACAAGATTGAATGAAGATAATCAAAATGAAAAGAAAAAAAATCCAGTTTCCTGAATTGGGATTTTTTAACTTAGAAGTAATACTTAGTACCTTTAAAGGCATTCACTTTCATAATTCCTTTTCCATAACTTTCAGGCCTCTGTACAGAGAAGCTAAAGAGAATGTACCCCTTCTCTGTCCAAGGGTTGAGAATCTCACTTCTTCTAAATGAAACAATGCAACATTTCACTTTGATTTCTCCACTGAAATTTTCTTGAAAATGTGGTTAGAGGTATATTAGTTAGAAATGTCTCTTAACTTTCTGGGATCTCTAGTGGCCCACCATATTAACTGTCAGTATTTTTTGGACATTGAGTTAATGGACTTAATTGCCTCAGTACAAGCAGGACTTTGGGACAGATATCTTTTGTGCTGTTTGATACTTGTCTCAATCTTTCTCCTTAGGTCCTCACACAATTCCTTACAGAGCACTTATTAAAAAAGTCTTATGAGTTCATCTGTTTTCTGATTTTTTTTGTGTGTGTAAGCTTCTAAAGAAACATCAGCTGTGATTAATTTAGCACATTTAAATAACAATATGTTGTTGGTATAAAGAATTTTCCTTCAACTCAGAGTATTAGTACTGTAGCATAAACCAAATACAGTCTAGAGGGGTTTTTAATATCCCTCCATTTAAAAGACTGAAAAAGATGTGTGTGTGTGGATGTATGTATGTTGGGGTGCTTGTATGTTGGGGAAAGATGAAGATACTAAGAATTAGTAAATGAATGTGTAAGACATTATTTAGTATTCAGAGAATGAAACTTGTATTTATTTTGTGCCATTTGTTTTCATTACATGGAATAAAGTTGGGTGGTTTAAATCCTTCAAGGGTAGTACTAGAAAAATGGCACTAAGGATGAAATCATGACCTATTTTTTTAATAGCTAAGAAACTAATTATGGGTGATGATTTCCTTTTCAGTTTGTCTTGATTGTAGGTTTTATGTCACATACCACTCAATTTTGTGTGAAAGTCTTGAATAATCTCCCTTCCCCACAAAAGACAGGGTGTATTTATCTTTTCTCTATTCATCCTCACTTCAACAACCTGAAGTTAATTGCATAGTATTTCCTCTAACCTTAGTAATGAACCTTCACATCAATAGTTTTTATGGTGTCTATAGTAGCCTGCCCTTCTGTACTTTCTAGGAGGGGATAGCCAATATCTTAAAAACTTGGTAGTGACATTTTTCCCCCTATCTTCCATCTGCCTTCCTAGTTACCACTCTGAATCTGGGGGAAAAAAAACCATAAACAAAAAACAGTGCTATAATTTTTTTCAAATGACAGTTTTTTAAAGAAAATGATACGGCAAGTTTTCCTTCACAGAATAGGACACAGCAGTAGTTGCACGCTTGGTTTCTAGACTTGTTGCCAGCCTTCACCAAAAGCTTTTTGGGGGTTGGGGAGGGAGGGAGCTTTAAGGTCAGAGAAAGGGCATGTAAATGTGAACTTGTACCAGATGGGCACGTGCAAGGAAATTAAAGACTTGGTTCAGTTTAAAAACCTGTCTAGGATGGTGGTGGTGGTAATTTTCTCTCAAGTCACTGCAAATTGCTAATGGTTTAATACCACTTCACCGTATTTTCAAATGATTCACTTTTATATATTAACCAACTGAAGAACTAGTATAGTGTAGTGGGCCAAAATGTATTTGGACAATAATTTCTATAAGTCCTGCTGATGTGTGCCTGCCAGAGTGGTTTTTGATAGGACTGTATTAGGAAGGGTAGGGTTGACTTCCCCAGTCTCCTAGAAGTTTGGTAGGAAAGCACAGGACAAGAGTAAAAATATAAGTTGCTTAAAGGTGGCCAGAAGAACACAAGACCTGAAAATCATTATTGATTTTCCCTTTGATGGCACGGATAGACTTCTGTGTTGAAGAAGGTAGTCTTCTGCTATGGATACCTTAAAATGTTTATGAACACTTAGATATAGATATGTGAGTGGCAAGACCATTCTGTTGGTGTAAACAATGATAAATTATCAACTCCACTCAAGGACTGGTCTACTGAGTTTTAAGAAAGGTCTTGAAACAGTTAAAGAATGCCAACAGTAGTGTGAGTTTTAAGTACACCGTCATAAAATGCCCAGCAAAACAATAGTGGACTGGAAACTCAAAAGACACCCTAAGCTGTGGTGGGATTGCTGGTTCAAACATTTCCTATTTAGAGAATTTTGTTCTGTCCAGAGTTCTGAAGCCATTTTATAACATTAGATGTCTGAAGGTTTGTTTTTTTGGGGGAGGGGGTGGTGGTGGTGGTGGAGTGTTGATACAGGGTTTCTCAGTATAGTCCTGGCTAGCCTGGAACTTGAGCTCTGTATACTAGGCTGGCCTCAAACTTAGATGCCTCTGCCTCCAAAGTGCTGGGATTGCCACCAAGCCTGGCAATGTCTTTTTGTTTATTTTGTTTTTTAACAGCCTTATTTGAAATAGTTCTAAGTGTTTACCCCAGCTCAGTTTTGCTTTCATTGTAATCTGTTTTAATCTATAGACCAAACAACTTAGATTAACATTACAATAGCTTTCTATATATATCCCCTTTCCTCAGGTGCTAAACAAAGGCTCCAAAATGAATACTGCTTTAGTAACATCTCTTATTCTTAAAATGCATATTTCTTTTACTAATTGTAAAGATTTGGTGTTAACAAAATGGTTTTAATATGTAAATATGAATGGATACTTTAAGTTCTACTTGTCTATTAAGTCTGCATTTATCTTTTGTAGATAATTTTTCACAATACATTTCATTAGGTATTGCATCTTTAGAATGAAAACAACTGTTTTGTCTTAGATTACGCCTGCTGCTGCTGCTGCTATGGGAAACTGAAAATCAAGAATGTGATGCACTTTTTAACATTACTATATACCATAGGTTGCTTTAATACCTTTTTTTGGTAGCACAGCCACTAACAAAAGTGAACAGAGTTTATTATTCTCTTCAGGAGTGAGTAGTAAAATTAGTCTGTAGTTTGTGTTGACTTACAAAGGGGACAGTAACTTAGGAAATAAATTTTTGGTTAATATTATATTTTGGCCTTAAAG